TGTGTGTGTGTGTGTGTCTCTCTGTGTTTGTGTCTATGTTTGTGTGTCTCTCTCTGTGTGTGTCTATGTTTGTGTGTCTGTGTGTGTGTGTGTGTGTGTGTTTGTGTGAGTTTGTCTCTCTCTGTATATATGTGTCTGAGTGTCTGTATGTGTCCCTTCTATATGTGGGTGTGTTTGAGTGTGTATGTGTCTCTCTGCTCTGTGTGTGTGTGTGTGTGTCTCTGTGTCTACGAGTGTGTGCTTGTGCGTCTCTCTCTCTTGGTCTATGTGTAGTACTGGGCCCTACGTTTTTGTTAAATAAAAAAAGATAAATGTACTTCGAGCACCAATCAATTCTCTGCAATTTCCCGCAAAATTTGCAAATTTCCCTAAATTTTTTGGTAAATATTTCTGCACTTTTCTATTGGCCAGCCTAAGAGTAACCACATACTTTACTTGAGTATGCATTAACCCGCTACAACAACAACAAGATTCCATTTATAGAGCGCCTTTCACATTGGGAGGACATCCCAAGGCGCTGGACAGTTGGGTCAGGACCTGAGCAGGGGGGAAATGGTCAGGGTCAGGGAAGGGAGGGGGCGAGGAGGGGGTAGAGAGCCGAGAGGGGAGCTGAAGGCTCAGTCAAAGAGAAAGGTCTTGAGACCGGCCTTGAAGGAGGAAAGGGAGGAAGGGAGGCGAAGGCACTGGGGGATGGAGTTCCAGAGCCTCGGGGCTGAGAGGCTGAAGGCCCAGCCACCGATGGTAGGGCGATTGGGGCGGGGGATGTGGAGCAGACCGGAGCCGGAGGAACAGAGGGTACGGGCAGGTAAGTAGGGGGATAGTAGGTCGGAGAGGTAGGAGGGAACAAGGCCCTTGAATGGCCTTGTAGGTGAGGATGAGATCTTGAATTCGATCCTCTGGGGGATGGGGAGCCAGTGGAGGCGAGCGAGGGTGGGAGTGATGTGGTCGCGAAGCCTGGTGCGGGACAGTACACGAGCTGCAGAGTTCTGAATGACCTGCAGCTTGTGGAGGGAGGTGCCGGAAGGCCGGCGAGGAGAGAGTTCCCATAGTCCAGCCTTGAGGTGATAAAGGCGTGGACCAAAGTTTCAGCAGCGTGAGGGGTGAGGTAGTGCTGTAGTCTGGCGATGTTTCGGAGGTGATGGAAGGCGGTGCCAGTTGTGGCGCGGATATGAGATAGTGGATAACCTATTGCACAAAAACCTGGGGATGCATGATTTTTTAAATAAAACTACTTTTTGAAAGAAAAAAGGGTTTCAATCATATATTGGAAGCTGAAGTTGGATCTTCTATAGGCCATAAAGGGGCATTTATTGATTTTTAAAAAAAAAACTCATTGGGTAAATTATACCAGGAGGGAGTAAAATCCAAAGACAATTTAAAGGTGGGTGCTTTTAACACCAGATGTTTTTGCCCAGCAAATGACAAACCCAGGCGTATGGAGAAGGCAGTTAATATTCAGAAATGTTGTAGAATTATTTGGTGTTTTGCACAATACTGTGGATTCATGTGCATCACTATTGTTGATTTCTCATGTAATTCTCAACAAACTTGAGTGTTGTGTGTTTCAAAATCTTCTGTAGCATAGTTAAAGCTCAAATGCCTTTTATAGCGGAGTTAAAGCTCAAAGTGGTTTAATGAGTCCAGGGCAATTTGCTTGGCTATTGAAATAATTAATATGAATGACAACTTGTTAAATGTTCTGGTGTTATTAAAGTCAACATGGCATGCCTCTTAATTATTTCTATTAATTATATTGCATTTTTATCATAGAACACCTATCAGATGGAAGAAACAGGAACAGTTTCCAACAGTTGTGCACAAAAATATGGAGATCATGTTTCTGTGGATTCAATATACTGCGTTGACCACTTGGAAACTATGAAGAAAAAGATTGCCATTCAGGATGAAATGTTAAAGAAACTAATTGTTCTGGAATTTAAGCTGACTGAACTTGAGACCATCTTGATCTCCAAGTATGGGGATCAAAAGTTACCTATTTCCAGTTAAACATTCCAATCATACGAGGCTTAAGAATGAAGCGAACTGTGTTTGTGGTAATGTTTATGTTGGGGAAGTAAAACCACAATAAATGGATTTTGTGGCAAAATGCAAACTTCCTTACCTTTGCATTGTGTAGAGAAAATTTGGGTGTTGGTTGCAATGCTTAGAGCGTTATCAAATTTGGTGTCCGTTGTGCTAGATAGTACAGGCTGTAGCTTATAAAGAAGAGTTATGAAATAGGGATTTCCAAAGTAAATTAGTATATACCTGCAACAAGTACATAGAATCTATTGTGTTCCATGACCAGGACTGCTCTTTTTCACCTCCGTCTGTACATCACAACCAACACAGACAAAACCCTCATCCACCCCTGACTGAACTAATCCAACGCCTTCCTCACTGGTCTCCCCAGCTCCACCATACACAAACTTCAATTAATTCAAAACTCCGCCACCCGGATACTCACCCATCACACCAGCCTTGCCAGGCTCCACTGGCTCCCATTTGCCGAATGGATCGATTTCAAGATCCTCTCACTCATTTTCAAATCCCTTCGTACCTCCCTTCGCACGTCCATACTTATCTGATCTGCTTACATCCCACTCCTCCACATGAAGGATGCTAAATAAATGCAAATTGTTGTTGTCATGAGCAGTTCTAAATATTGGGAGTGTAATAGACATTCCTCCTTTTCAAAATAACTATCTTAATATCTGATAACTGTTCAAATTGTTGGAAAGAGCTGGATATTTTAACNAAAAAAATTAAATCCTTCAAATACGAAGTGGAAAGAGGAGTCGATTGGGAAAGGCTAGAGTGGTTATAAGATGGGGTGAGTGCTGATTGTCTGCAGGGCTGGTAACCCAGTCAGAGGAAGAGAATTGACAGAAGAATGGCAAGTAAAGATTTCCATAACTCCAATCAGCTAATACAGAAAGTAAACATTGGGTATCAAAACAATTCCCACAGCCTTGGAAGAATTTTTTAAATTGCTTTCACCAAATGCAATGTAGTCACCATTTTTATTCAGCCTGGATGTTTTTATTCAGGCTGTTGCCTTCACTGGAGCACTCTAAGTGCAACAGCAGAACGCTTAAATTTATTCGACAGCTGTAACTGAAGTATCAAAAACTATTTGTTATACAAACTGAACTGTTCTAATTATGCAGTGAAGCTGAGCACTGATCAGTATTTTCAAAGTGTAGAAATCCAGGAGCCGGTTGGATGGTCTAACAAAACAAGAAGTGGAGCTTGACTATGAATCCTGTAGTTTTGTCCTTTCGTGCAGGGCAAGGAAGAACTCAAGTTTCCAATCTCACTCGGCTTCAGGCAAGGCAGAGTAGCATTTTTGCTTGAAAACCTTTTATTTATTTACTTTAATAAAGTAGATACAAGGTGTACCTTGCGGAACTTGTTGCAAGTAATGTGTTTTTCATATTTAATGAAATTTAGAATCCCAATCAGTACAATGGGAGTACTGTGTTGCAGCCGATACTCAAACAATAGTTACACTATCGGATGTGTAACTTGAGCTTCAGGGAATAGATTCATTATTGAGTTTGACATTTAACTTCCTTTTAGTCAGTATCACTCAGGTGTTGAATTATTTTGTACATGAATAGTTATTAAATAATTCATCAAATTCTAGTGGTGTATAAATATATATTAACCTAGTGATATATTTTCATATCAATTTTAGTAGTATTTTCTTCATTTAAGGGTTGTTATTCTAAGGGTTGTACCTCCTTTAAGAGGCTTCATTATGTGCTTTTTCTATTTTTTTCATCCCAACTGTTCCCTCCTGCATGCTTTATTTAGCCCATGATACAATTCCAATGGAGAAGATAGTTGGGACAGAAATCCCACCTGGTTTTTAGATGTACACTATTGCCTTAACATTTTAGATCTTTCACTCATAATTAAAGAGAAGGAATTGCTTTCAAGCTTCCGTCACCATTCACCATTTCTTGTACTCTCTTTCAATAGTTATATTTTTAAGCTTTCCAAATATTTCAAGATTCCCAGCTGATTGTGGCTTATTCTCCTGGTATTAGTTTAGATCTATATATTTTGTTTCACCCACTAAATATACACTTTGCCACATATTCTGTTAAGCACTTTGAGACGTCTCACCAATGTGAGAAGGTGCTATATCAAATGCAAGGATTATTATTATAAAAAGCACAATAAGAAAGATTCCTTTCTGAGAAATGTCCACATTACCCAAGAATTTTTGCTGAAAAATCCAACATTGCACAAGTTGTCCTAAAGTTCCCTCTTATCTATCTTGTTTTATCACTTGTTTTTGAACTCTGTCTTATTTTATAGCTACATGCAAACATTGTTGAAATTTATGATAATTCTACTTGAGAAATGCCTTGTTTATCAGCTTTTACATAGGTATTGCGATTCAAACTCCTACTGAGTCATGAATTATTTAAGCAACTTCCTTGTTGTAATAACTGTCCAGTTGTGTCAACATTGGTTTCTCACAAACTATGCTTTGCTGCTTATAAATGATTAAATATTTGTGAGTTATTCTACTTTAAAACTTAGCTGCATTGATGTAGAGAAAATTAATTGTCTGAATAAAAAGTTAGGCTGGGCACAGGTAGGTGAAACCATTTGCAGACTTCTCAGAGCATGGGTTGAGAGAAGATCAAGAATAAATGTTCCTCCCATTTATTTGAATCATTGGCAAGTAATTGAAGGTGGTTGAATACCTTTCTGTATCCTGACTCAGAATGAGTTTGAATTATTTGACTGAAAAGGGAGGTTTAAGTTACCTTGATCCCTACTGAAATTGCGAAACATTTTTACCGTAGTGCTTGGATTATTTTTCAGTGTTACTTCCTGATTGAGTAATGGAAAAACAGTTGACTTGGTAACGAACACTTAATACACTGTCCTCAATGGTAAATTGACAGAACCTGATTGTTATTCCAGTACTTGGCATGTTATGTACAAATCAACATTCAGTATTCCTGCTGTCTGTGGGGCACACTTATTTTATGGAGAGGTACGTTTACTGCATGTATAAATTTGGGTGGGAAAAGCCGGTTTAAATTGTAGTTGATTTAAGTAAAAACATATACTTTCCTATTCTCATTTTAAACAAAGATGAATATTTTCAGTGAGTGGTTAGTATTTCTGCAAGTTAACAGTTCTAAGCTATTAAAATGAGTGTCAAATCTACTGCTGATCCAATGTAACTACATTGTGATGCAAGTAAAATAACCTGTTATGACTATTCAGTTTTATTTAAACTAAAATACAGTATGATTTCAGTGAGTATTGCTTTGCAAAGTCAGCCGTAAAAAGGAGAAAAACATAATGGATAGCAAACTTTATTAAATAGCAAATTTTATTCAAAATTCTGAACTAAAAAAAAACAGAATTCTACAGCGACCTTTGGCAATTGTACAATTGCTGTCCTGAATGACATTCAGAAACCTAGCCCGTTATTGTATCACAATACAATTGCTGAATCCCTACATTACGTGATTCACTGAATGGTACCAATGTTTTATGGATCAGTGTACAGATTGATGAATACATTGTAAAAGATTACATCTTATTATAAATCATTCTTGTGCTGCTGGCCAATCAAGACCTATGCTACTGGTTTGAGAAGATATCAAACTGATGAGCCTAAAAAGGAAAGCTGCAAATGCTAGAAATCTGAAATTGATATAGAAATAATAACAATAATCCTTGCATTTGATATAGTGCCTTATTAGATCTTCGAGATGTCTCAAAGCACTTCACAGAATATACTGTAAATTTTGTGGGTGAAAATGCCAGAAGTCTACAGTTAGAACTATTTACCAATATAGCTCTTGAAAAATAACTTTCTGAAATCAACTTATTATTCTATCAATGCAAGCACTCTCAACTTGCTATACATTCATTTTACCATTACAAATATAACTGTAATACAACCTATCCTATTCTGATTCTCCTTCCACCCCATAGTTGAGCCTCATTGGCAACCAACCCGACACTGGTAAAATAAATGAGGATTGAAAATCCAAGTTCAAGTCTGACATGCATTCACGAACAGTAAAATCAATTGCACATTTTATTAACTTTTTGGGGAGCAATAATTAATAACTAATATGCATTCTTCAGAGGTGAAAATTTTTTGAAGCATTTGGGATGCAACAGAAAATAGTAAGTTGATGAGCACCGTCACAATATAGGATTAGCAAGTGACAGTTTCAATGGCAAGATCATACTATTGATCTGAATGTAATGGCACAGGGATTCATAGTTGCTAATTACCCACAAAAATAAACACTGCCTTAATTGGGTCCGAGAAATCCTTCTCCCTGTTTTGTCCTTATTTTGTTCTCATCAGAATTGTTGCTGTCATTTTATAACAATAATAATCCTTGCATTTGATCTATTTTGTGATGAGAGCCTTGCAAAGTGATACATTTATATTACAAAAGTTGATGAATTCAGATAGATCAACAGTATCAAATGCAATGATAATCAAGAAATATGAAACAATTGTGAAATAAACCTTATTTTCCTTATTGCTTAGTAAACATTATTGCCTTTTTTGAAAGAGGCACTTGCACCCATTATTTTATAGCAACCTTGTTTCAGTGTTTCTATTCCAGTATATAAAATGATGCTTTGAAGTACATGAAACATTTTTCTTATAATTTTACTGAATTGTCTATTGTGTGTAGCTGTACACTGTTAACTGGTTCTTTAGAATTAGACTGCATTTTGTATCTCTCTCCTCTGTGTTGTTCTAAATATGGACCCCAGTCCGGTGATGGTCTGGAACATGCAATAATTTTCTGTGAAAAGAAAAATACTTCATTAATTTTCAACCTGCATAACACCCATACTAGAAATATTAATATATAATTTTAATCAGCTTGACTGCAGTTTATTCTCCAGGATTCCTTGCGCTAGACTGTTGTTTGCTTCCATTCCAAAACTCTGCTATCTTGGAAGTTATTGGCAAGTTTCCAGATATGCCTGTTACTTCAATCCCAATACTTTGTTTATCCAAAACTGCTACCATTTGGTACAGTTGAGGATTTTTTTTTAAATGTTCACGTTCAGTTGATTTCTTATATGGTGAAGTCAGGGAATTACTGAACATTTAACATTCACACAGTTGATAGACATAGGAACATACATGTCAGTATTATTCTATGGGTTGTGTGTAAACATGTATTCCCTGAAGTAATTAACTTCAACCTGTTTGAGTGTGTGTTGGGGTCTCTTAGCTATCCGTATAATTAATAATCCTTACTATGCAGAGGAATTGTTAGCCTTTTTGATCCAACTGTAACAGTAGAGAAAGGTTACAGGGTCAGTATCACAGGCGATGAGTGTTTTTATGTCTGTCAGATCATTGAAGGAGAAGATGATGAGCAAAAACCTAAATGCACTTCTAAATTTTTTTTTCTCCCAAGTCGCTCAACTGCATTTGCCATTTTATGAGACTGAAAAACTAAAATTTGGGAAGTCTCTCTCTCTCTTTGAGTTTACTAACAAGTGGAGAATAATGATCACCAATAGCCAAGGGGGAAATATAACTTCCATTACATCCTTGATGAGCGTAAATTCAGTAAACATTACAAGAGAATAAAGTTCTTTCCTCACCTTCCACAAAGTGGAACCTTCAGCTTGGACAATTTTCACAATAGCGAAAATGGGGATCCAAATAATGCAGAATATGACCATACACCAACCAAGTGCTACTGCCCAAATTGGATATTCAACATTTCCATATTTTGGCGGAACAAATGCTACTAAGGACCAGATGAAGACTAGCTGTATGAAAATAAGGTCAGAAACAATGAATGAGCTGGTGAAATTTCAGCTTGATTTTTTTAGCTTCAATTATTCAAAATTGCAGTATTTCCTTACTATCAGTAAACAGGGAGAAATGAAGAACCAGCATGCTTTCCACCAAATCCAGAAGTACCACTTCTTTTCCCCAATCATCATCTCAATGTCTTTGATGAATCGATTTCCCCCTGTCAACAAAAAAGCATTTCTTTTGTAATTTCACTCCGGTAACTTGTTTTCTGTAGTTGTGACTCTTGCAATGTGCATTGCTATTGTACACAACACATCAATTTCCTAGAAAACATTTTGGGTAGGATCAGAAAATGTTATCGACTGTCACCAATCTTATTCACTTTACTGGTTTTGCTTCATTTCTTATAAAGAGGCATGAAGATCATTACACGCGCTGCATTCAGTCGAGTTCTTAATCTTAGTTCAGTGTTCTTTATTTTGCTTCAATGTTGCCCTTACCATAGATCCAGATCATACCAATGAGTTCCATGATAGCGATTATAAGGATGCTCCAACCAGCAACGAAATGATCAATTAAATTTACCCAATAAATCCCAGCCTGAAAGCAGAAGACAATTATTAGAAAATGCACTCAACAATGAAGACAAATTACTACATTGGTATGTTGCTGAAAGAGCCAAGCTTGCCTCAGAGTTTAGTGTCGTCTATTGGAATGACCATGGAGTGAGATTAAATGACTGCAATGGAGATGTCTGCAGCCCCTGATCACCCATCCCTTCCTGCCATGATAGAAGTGCACCATTTGGAGGTTGCAGTAAGAAATTTAAAATGAGAGGCATCTCCAGAAAAGATTAGAATTTTTAAACCCATTGTAAACTTTTTTTTAAGTAAAGATTCTCTAACATGTTTCATTTTTACATTAGGGAAGACATGTACAGGAACAGGAAAAATGTTTCAAGTTACGTAGATTTGCTTGGAAATTGGTCTAATTCATGTAGTGATGTCACATGAATTTCATCTTCTCTGGGGTTATATTTCATTGTGGAGGAGGGGAAGATACATCATATAAAACTATCATTACATATAAAATAATCTGCCAAGCTAATAAATGGCTGCCTACCTGTGTTACACATAATATGCCAAGTAAAAAAAGGCATGCACAAGAGACAATTGACAGGTAATGCCGTTTTGATCGCAGCACTGGGAATTCATCCTGCAGAGACGTTGTAATTGTTTCTGGTTTTAAAAACAACAGGAAAAGTGCAATCAGTGAAAGATTGGTCATAGCACAAGTCCAAACACATCTCGTGCTCTTCGACTTCATATAATCCAAAGCTGAACCTGGATCAGAGGAATATATAAATCTAAAGACAGCAAAGGAGGTAGGTTGCCAGGCCCCGCCAGCCATTACAGGATTATGTCCAGAACATCAACTCAGGATTTTCTTGTGCTCGAGACAGATCACTCTAGCTATGCCAGGAACACAACAAATGTTATAGCTGTATTTTAAATTCTGGATCTATCCAAATGCTGGACAGAATAATGGGCAGAAATGAAGTTTGACACACTGGATGTTGAACTCTCTCCCTGGCACTGTTCTCACTTGTAACGTATTACATTGCACATGAATTGCTAATTGTGGAGTCTTGTAGCTCAGTGGTTAGAGCACTCACCTTGCAAGCGAGACACCTGGGTTCAATTCCAGACAGGGCGAAACCTTAGGCAAGTTTCCTTACCCCACTCACCTGACATTAATCCCTCCAAAACAATAATAAATTGGTAATTTTCAATCCATGACTTTGTGGGACACTGCTGTGCGCAATTGGCTGCCGCGTTTCGCCCACAAATATACGGGCAATTCACTTTACAGCATATTCTGTGAAGCACTTTGAGACGTCTAGAAGACGTGAAAAGCTCTATATCAAATGCAAGGATTATTATTTAAACCAGAGAACAGGGTTCTTTTCTGAAACATCTGTCCTCACAAGAATTCAAATCTACTGCCTTCCCACCAAAATTTTGTAATCTGCATGCTTCATCACCTTTCTCTTCAGATGTTAATTAGCATTTCTTTTCTGAATTTTTTTCTATTGAAGTGCTCAATACCGATGAAAAGAATTCCTTTAATTTGATATAGCCATTATGACCTCAGTTAACAATGCTCTGTCTTTAATTCTACAATAGAACAACTACATAGAATTATAATCATACCATAGTAATTGCCTTAAAAAAGAAAGCAAACTGATCATCCACCAATATATTGCTCCCCTCTCCTTCCAAATGTTCTGTTTTATCATCAATTACGAAAACAAATACAGAAAATGATAGAATCATAGATGGGATTTGGAATGTGACGATGCACATGAAAGTGATTCAGCCAATATAACTAAGCATAAATGGATTATAGTTTTCTGCAGTAGGAGTGAGAAAGTAATGTGACAATAAGTAAAGTTACTCTTACCTACACTTGCAAATATACTATCAAGTCCCAGGGTGACGAGCATGAAGAAAAATAATATGGCCCAAAAAGGTGCTTGTGGTAGCTGTAAGAGGGCTTCTGGATAGGCAATGAAAGCTAAACCAAAACCTAAATCATTGGATAAAATGAAATTGTGTCAATAATGCCACTTAATAGAGAAATACTTTCAATTAATACTTTTTGCTTACAATCAGTTGATTCTTTTATAATAAAGGTTGGGAGGAATCTAGGTTTGAGGTTGTCATAAAATATAGGAAAGCAACATTAGCTCTGAGATTTAAGAAGAAAACTGAATGTAATATAAACAGTGCAAAAAAACGTAGCTTATATCTATACTTTCCATTCAGAGTGATTTAAAGTGTAATTTCAGAGAAATCTGCTTTTTCAAAACAATGGACACCAATTTTGCCAGCTCTGTAGCTTGTTAGATTTTTTTACATTATTCCTTAATTTCTCCCAATTAAATACCACAATCAGTCAAGAGGGTACCAGCACACTGCCCCTGCCAATACTGCTCTGAATTTGCCTTCAGGTAATTCATAAGAGTGGCCTATGGTAACCTTCTCTCTCATTTTCCATATTTAGTCACCATTCTGTGCATCTTACAGAGACTGGGCTAAGATTAGCAGCTCAGCAATATTGCTGGCTAATGTATTTGTCTCTCATTGCACCAGTGCTTCACTGTACCATACCTATCTTTTTTTATTATTGGTAAACACTCTGTCAAGGAGAATAACGTCTCACTTATCTAATGGTGTATAACACTGTGGGAGATTTCTGCTGTCTGTCATTGTTCTTCAGCCAAGATAGTAAGATGAAATCCTGATAAATTTAAAATTCTCTGTTCTAATTATAAAAATCTGCTGCCCTGTCCAAAGATCTTTCAAGAAACTGTCCTTTAAAAGCTTTAGGCAGTTTAATGGACCACGCAAAAACTTGAGAAAAATAGTAGCACTTATGTAGCACTCTAAGGTGGCGGCTGCAGTTGGAGCAGGGAGTGTAGATTGACTTCCCAATTGCTTTATTGCTGGAGGTGATAATGCTTCATTCACCTCAAGCAGCAAAAATCATAAATCGGAGCAATGCACTGAACTAGACTAAAAGATTCATCTGAATGGTTCAGTACTGCAAGTCATGATTTGACTACATTAGTATTTCTTATGTTCTTATGTTGTATTTCATATCACAAGAGCCCAAACAAACAAAGCTGATGAGTTACAGATATTTCAATTCCAATATCTTTACACAACTATCATTTAACTTAGCTTTTTTGTAGACCATCTTATCACTTGGACCTGAAATACTGCTACTGATTATTGTTACAGCAATTCAGTAAGTCCTGTAAATGGATTTTTGTTTCAGAAAGGTGTTGCTAATTATGTGAATGCAGCTGAGTATATATATTTTTTAAAAATCATTCTTTTTGTTTATATTTAGATGATATAAAAAAAAATTTGTGCTAACACTTAACTGAGCCTGAGGCAGGCAATATAGTTCAAGACAGATGTATCAATATTATGCCAACAAATCAGTAAGAAATTAATCCTTTATTTTTGTAGTTTGGAAGGAATTTAATGGAATGAGATTTGACTCTGTGAACATACCTGACTGTACCACCTCTGAAACAGGCACATCTTGTCTATATGCCATGTGTCCAAGAATGGAAAAGATGGTGAATCCAGCAAACACACTTGTAGCACAATTAACGGTGCAGACAATGATTGCGTCCATATAACAGTTGTTGTTGAATTTGTTATAGGATGAAAGTGTCATTAAACCTCCCCAAGCCACTGAGAGGGAAAAGAAAATTTGCGTTGCAGCATCTTTCCAAATCTAAGAAATGAAAAGCAGTACATATTAGGAATGGGAGATTAGATTTTATTCAAACTCTTTATTTCCGTGGCAGCAGGCCAGAACATAAAGAGAAATGTGGTGACTTGACATCACAACTCATTGGTCATGAAGGGAAATGGAAAACAATACGTATAAGGGATTAAAGTATACAGCTCCGGTGTGGGGAGCTTTTACCAGCATGTAGAGAATGGGTAAATGATCTCCTGTACGATAATAATAATAATGATCCTTGCATTTGATATAGTGCCTTATCACGTCTTTGAGACGTCTCAAAGCGCTTCACAGAATATACTGTAAAGTGTATTTTGTGGGTTAAAATATTTAAAAAGTAAAAGGCCTGATTCTATGGCTAGCTCCCTGAATAAAATTCCCTCTGGTCCATATTCTCTTTGGTAAACAGTAATATCATCATTCTTTTACCATGTTTCTATTGCTGCACTTTCTGATTTCTCTGTTGTACAATGTAGACTGAAATCCAGTGGCTCCATTATCTTTTAGAGAAGTTCAATAAGAAAATCTCTAACACAAAACAACAGACTACATATTTACAAAAAAAAGTGTAGGAAAATGGTTGTGAGAAGCTTAACTGGTTTGACTGAAAAACACAAATGACTTTGTGCACATTATTACATGTTTTGAGACATCTCAAAGGCATAAGGCACTATATCAAATGCAAGAATTATTATTATTATCATTAACAGTGATGTACTTACCTCAATATTAGACAGTTTTGAAAAGTCTGATTGACTTCCAATGTAGAACTCAATTCCTTTGGCGGCTCCCTCTAGAGTAACACCTCGAATCAGAAATATGGTTAGAACCACGTAAGGGAATATAGCGGTGAAATAAACCACCTGATAATGCAGAGGAAGGATGTTAGATTGTGTATGTTCCAATGGACAACAACTTGCATTTATTATAGCTCCTTCACCTAGCGTAGCGTCCCAGAGTGCTTAACAGTGGCAGAGTCTGACCCCAAGACAGGTGGAGAGGGAGGAGGGAGGTGACCGTAAGCAGAATCAAAAAGGAAGGTCTTTAGGCGGGATTTGAAAGTGGGTAGGGAGGGGGAAAGGCGGAGGGATTGGGGGAGAGAGTTCCAGAGCTAAATGTTGTATACTGTTGTACAATATCATACTGTTGTAAAGCATTTACAAGATTACAAATATCAGCTGACAATCAATCCAATTTCAATCAAAGCAGAGAGGTAGAGTATATTTTGCACTTTACAGCATATTTAAACTGGAATAGGAAAATACTGTTCTGGTGTATTTGTACAGTGTACTAGAAAAATAACACATTTAAAACAACACAATAAAGTGAGGTGAATACATTTTCAATCTTTCCATTGATACATTTATGCAATTTATCCATTATTTTTATTGTCAAGAAATAATTATGTTTCTGATGATGGAGTTGCCAGCATTCTTTCATGAGTGTGAGCAATCCAAAGTTTGAGCATTGCAAGATCTTTCTCAAGAGTGAATTCACTAGGAATTCATTAAACTATTGAGATATTCTATTTATTCTGTGTGTTTCAGTTGTTGTCTCAGGAATTTGAGTATTTGCCCTGGAAGATTTCTTAGATTTTAAGTGATAATTCACAAGTAGATTATCTTTATGTTTTATTTGATTGAAAAAAATGTTTTACCTTTCCAGAAGATTTGATTCCTTTATACATTGATAGTGCAACTATTATCCAGGCCAAAAGGAGGCAGAGGGTTAAGTACCAGACTACAACACCCGTTTCAGCTATTGAATTCGATCGGCGTAAAGTCACTTTACTGGAAAAAAATGAGAACAGAAAATACTGCGTGTAATGATTTTGTTCAATGTACATACAAGAGTACTTGCAATATAAAATATGCAGGTTATTTGGAATGTTTTCAATCAAATACCATTGTATTTGAAAATTATCTGGATTTATAGGGATTTTTGTCATTAGTACTTTATATGTTAAATTGTTGCAAATAAATGGCTAAAAAAATGTTTTTTGATTTTACATCTATTCCTATTTTTAACATTTCAGCAATAAGATCTAATAAGATTGAGAAGTGACTTGAAGGAGCTTCCATACGTAATATCATCTAATGAACTGAAGTTAATTTACTATTAAAGCACAATTGTTCAAATTAAGTGACTAAATATATGTAACTTCTAACTATCGGCACTCTCACACTTTCTATTTTGGTACAGTACAGCTTCTTTCCCTTAATGTCAATAATGCTATATAACTAAGATCAATTTAGCTCATCCAAACAGCATATTGATTTAACAATGTCTAGCAAGAGAAAACTTCTCTACTACAGCAACAACAACTTGCATTTATATAGTGCCCTTCATGTGGGGTAGTGTCTCGGAGTGCTTAACTGTGGAGGAGCCTGACACTGAGCTAGGAAGTGACCCTAAGTACGGTCAAAGAGAAGGTCGTCAGGTGTGGTCTGAAAAAGGGGAAGAAGGGGGCAAGCTGGAGAGATTCAGGGAGGGAGTTCAAAAGGGTTTGAGTGTAGTGGTGGAAAGTCTGTCTGCCAATGGTGGAGTACAGGGGACAATAGATAAGCAGAAGGCTGGAGCCAGCTGAGTGGAGGTGGCAGGTGGTGGAGTGGAAAGTAAGCAGTTCGAAGAGGTCCCAGGGCATGAAAGGATGTGTAGAGGAATGTGAGGATATTGAAGTCGATCTATTCTGTGATTGGGAGCCTGGAGAGGAATAGTGTGATTAGGATACAGAGTTTAGAGCGAGTGAGTATGCGAGTGAGGGTGGTCAAACGAGTAAATTTATTATAATATTTCTACTTACTCCCAGTATTGCTCACTTGGGCTCTGTTGAAATGGATAGATTTTAGTTCCATTTATGCAGGTTTCATTCATTTCTTGCAACCAGGTTTCATTTACTATTTCAAACAATCCATCATCCAATGTGAAATTGCAGAGTGGTTCTGGAAATTATTAATCTGGGGTGAGGTTGGCAATGTAAAACCTTTGCTGCCTCCTGTATTTCTAGTTTCCCCCCCAACTTGATGTCTTCTGCAAATTTACAACTTAATTAACAAATTATACTGGGTCTGGAAATCCAGGTCATTTGTACAACATAAAAGGTCCCATTACATACCCCTAGGCATCTCAATTAATATGTCCCTTCATTTTCACCTACTTCCCCAAACAAGGACCCTTTGCTTCCTTTCCTTCAGCCAATTTTGAATCAGTGTTGATGTCTTACCCTTCATACCCAGCAACCTCATCTTGGTTGAGGTCTCCAAAATGTTTTTTTTTGGAAGTCTAGACACTCTGTCATATGGCTTCCCATCGTCAATCTGGGGCGTCACCTCAAAACAAATCCCTACGAGGTTGGTCTGACGTTGCTCAGACGAGTAAATTTGAGTTTCAATTTTGAGTTCTTCCTGTTAGCAGTACTTAGCACATTACAACAACAACAAGATTACATTTGTATAGTGCCTTTCATGTTGGGAGGACGTCCCAAGGTACTGGATAGTGTACAGCATTTCAGACCCGAGCTGGGGTTGGGGGGGGAAGGGAGGGGAGGGGAAGGAGGGTGACCGATGGCATGGTCAAAGAGGATGGTTTTGAGGCGGAACTTGAAGGAGGCTAAGGAGTGGGCGAGTTGGAGTGATTGGAGGATGGAGTTCTAGAGGTTGGGGGCAGAGTGGCTGAAGGCTCTCCTGCAAATGGTGGGGTGGGTGGGTCGGGGGACGTGGAGCAGGCCGGAGCTGGATGAGCGGAGGGAACGTGTGGGTTGGTAGGGGGTTAGGAGGTCACAGAGGTAGGGTGGGGTGAGGCTATTGAGGGCTTTGTAGGTGAGGACCAGTATCTTGAACTGGATCCTCTGAAGGATGGGGAAGCAGTGGAGTCGCGCGAGAATGGGGGAGATAGGGTCACGGAGTTTGGTGCGGGAGAGGACACGGGCTGCAGAGTTCTGGATTATCTGCAGTCTGTGGAGGGAGGAGTTGGGAAGGCCGACAAGCAGAGCGTTTGCATAGTCGAGCCTGGAGGTGATGAAGGCATGAACAAGAGTTTCAAAGGCCTGAGGGGTGAGGTAGTGGTCGAGTCGGGCGATGTTACAGAGGTGAGGGAAGGCAGAGCGGGTCACGGCTTGAATGTGGGGAAGAAAAGGTTTCTGACTGGCTTGGGCTTCACCATTCTGCTAGCTCATCAAACAGAATGCTTTGTCAATGTAATTTTTTTTTGCCGCATAGACATTCAGTATACAAATAGCACCTGGTTGAGTTGAATATGAGGCATAAAATAATAGTGATCATTTGACTGCTGTTAAGAAAAACTTGCACACTGGCTTAAAAAGACAATTGAGCTGCATCTCTCCTTTCCACCAAAACAGCTAAATTCAGATGTAAAATATTAAAGAACTTCTATCATTTAAATGGTTTCTCAAATATTTTACAAAATTACCATTATAACAAATCCTTTATGTAACGGATATGACAATTAGAATCTGTATTGGATTATTATTATTAACTGGTTTAGCTCTAATTGTAAGGTTATATCACTTGTTCTAGATTCTCTTACTCATTGTCTAACTTGTGAATTCCTTTTATTATTTTAAACACCTCAATCGATTTTCTCCTGAACTTTAGATATTCTTTATACAATAGGTGTCAGCATCTGTTTTGCTTTGCTCTTATTTGGCCACCGTGCCTATTGAACCTCTTTTTCTTTCTGCCTGTTCAATTTCCTTTACATTTTCTTTGGCTATGATATGTTGGGAGTGCTCTACTGTTTCAAGCAAATGAAAAAGCCCTTTATTTGAGTAGCGATATAAAATAGGTGTTTCTGGCTTACTGAAACTAAGCTACTGAACAGTCTGTTTCCCTGCCTTAGCAAGTGCTTTTGTTTCCAAAAGTTAAACCATAAATCAAATCACAAAAGTAACCTGACATATAATCTCGTAAAAAGGTGAAATGTGACAGAGAGAGAGTGACATTTTTAGGGAACACGTAATCATTGATAACGATCATCATTTACAATGCACTTGAAAAGAGAAGAGAGGAAAACATACTTTTTGTACTATGGGGGAAGGCCTTGTAATTCTGGTTAAGAGAAGGCAGAGCGTTCAAACAATATGTACAAAATAAATCCTTTTTTGTTTGTTGACTGTAATTAAAACTTATTTGCAAATAGCTGCCGCATGTCACCTACAAAATACACAGTCACTGCTCTTTACAGTATATCCTGTGAAGCGCTTTGAGATGTGGCAAACATAATTTTGGGTGGCCATCAAACTTGAAATTGGCAATTTAACTACATCAACTAACATTTTGCATTTTTTGCTCTGGCTCAGACTGGAATGTATGAATCACTCAACCCTAGGAAGATAAAACTGTACATTTCCTTTATCAAAATTTTTCAAAAGAATACCTGCTTAAAAAATAACATTTACGCTTCACTAATTCAACTTCTCCCATGTCCTTTTTCCTGCAGATCTTGAAAGCTCACTTAGTCTTTAGCCCCAGTTTAATCGAGTGTTTAAAAACAAACTAATTCATTCAAATAGAATAAAATGATTTGATGAACTAAGAATTGTCTAGATATACAATATATATTTTTAAAAAAGTACCTTTCTGAGTCTTGCTGCAAAATTCATCCGCTCCCCACCAGCTAAAGCAGTCTTCCCAAGGCAGGGGGTATTGGAAGGCGGCAAATAAATAGTACAAACTGTAGCCTATGATACAATTGTAGTAAATGCATAGAAACATGACCTCACAGATCATAGTATACCCCACACCTTGAAATAAATGAAGAAAGAGGGAATTAGATTACAGTATTGAGTAAACAACAAACAGGGATATTTGTGTAATGAAAATCTTTTAGGAACAAAGAAGCAGGAATTGGCCATTCAACCCGCCAAGCCTTTGCTACTATTAACAGCTGCGTTCTCAGATTGCTAATAATGCACATGTCATTTGCTACAAACTCTGCCTGTATAAATCAACATTTATAAGCTCATTTCAATAGTTTACCCTTTTTGAACTATATGAATGAAAGGCTGACTGTACTGTAACAAATGCGTAGATAGACACAGATAAGACTTTTTGCACATTCAGTTCACTTGATTAAGCTTTGGAGAATGAGAGAAAGCATTTTACCAGCTACATCTGCGGCTTTGGCTTTTTTTATCAATGTTTTATCAAATATCAAGCATCTGACAGTTTGAAATGCAAAAACTGCATTCAAAGCTAGCTTTAAGCCCTTTCACAAGTAAAATATTGTGAACATACTAAAGGGTTACGTCCTGAATTGTCAATATTATTAATTTAAACTATTAATTGCTTTATGTTACTAAACAAGCACAACCTTTTAGAATTGGCACAGCTTTCCACACTAAAGTAGGTCCGAGGCTGGTGAACTGCCCAAGGGAACATTCCAAGAAAAATAATGGTATCCCGGCAAATGCCAACATGATGATGTAAGGAATAAGGAAAGCACCTGTAAGAATAAAAAACGAACTTTACAATGGATTTGTTTATAGACTGCATGCTGGACATCAATTTTAACTTAACATAAGGAGAAAATATTACCTTGAACAGTACAGTGCAAATACAAACTTCATCATAACCAAATAAGTTAAATCGACTTTGGTACTTAGTTAAGAAAGTACAATTTGGACTCCCTAAAACACCTGTTTTGCTTTCAGTTTGTACTAAGCAAATCTTTTAGCATTGCAGAATGTATAGATATTCAGAGTACACATCAGCTTAATTTTTAATCAGATGAAAAGGCACCGCAAGCTCAGGTAAATATTATATAATACAGTTTCACAGTTTGAAATACAAAACATGAATGTTAATTTTGCTTTACTAAGGTTAACAAGCTAAAACCTCTCATGAGTTAGGATTATTCTGAGTTTTATTGGAGGAAAACTGAATTCCTACAGGTGGGTTGTACCTGACCTCTTAAAGTTATTATGCTCCTTTGACAAAGCGTCTATTATTTTACTTGTTTGCACTCCGGTTGGTATTTGGACCATTGCCCACAGAAAATATAATCGTAGAAAGAGACTTCAGTTTCTCCAACAAGAAAATGAAAATCAGATGGTCAGTGTATAGTAATTTGTTCAGGTTTAGTTTAAACTAATTTTGTTAATAACATAGCACGCGGAAATTAAACTGTAGCATTGTGAAAGCAGTTAAATATTAGCAAACAGGGAACACTAAATCAGATGGAGCCAGGAGGTTCCTTTCCTTAGATAGAATAAAAGGAGTCTTACAAAAACATGTTTTGAGATTTAAGAGACAAGAAAACCTTGCAAGTCTTATCAAATGACATTGCGTTTAATAAAAAGGCAGTTTTAGAAATAACTTCAATCTAGATAAATACAAACTGGGCAATCTATTCAGTGAATATATTTTTTAAATAAATATTTATAACCTATTTCAGCATTCTACATACTTGGAGCCAATCCAATGCCAAAGTTTGGAGCTTGGGGCAGACTAAATGTTGTAGATGTTGTTCAGTTCCTGCTTTTTTTTAAAAAAAAGAAACTTGAAATACAATGTTTAAAAAGAACTGCTAGAGTATCTGTAGCTGGCAGTTGTGGATCACCTTCTTGCTTACATTGTATTGAAATGAAAGAATAAGAGCTGCCAAAACTGACAATGTTTTTGGAAAGTTAAAAGGTCTGATTGTTAAAATACAGGAGATATTCTAAAGCTTTAAATCACAGCACAATCCTGTGAATTCATCAAAATTATGTACTCGCTAGTTAGTAGTCTGCACTTACTTTTAGCCCACAAAATATACAGTCAATTCAATCTACAGTGTATTCTATGAAGCGCTTTGAAACGTCTCAAAGACAAGCGCTATATCAAATTCAACGATTATTATTATTACTTGGGAATGCGGATCAGGGCAAATCAATATATTTTTTAAAAATATATTCCTTATCAAATTGTGTAAACCAGGCTATAAGCAGATCTCGTTATCCACTTCTGTTTAATATATATATATATACATTTAATATATTTATATCTAATATATTTATAAATTTATAATATATATATTTTGACCTAATGTTACTTGACACAGCACTTGAAGGCAAGCTTCTCAATGTACAGCAGTCACTTCTAAACCAATGCATTTTTTTTCTGCCTTATTCAATACTGGTAGGTTGTTAAGTACAGTACCTCCTCCGCTCCTGTAAGCAAGGTAAGGGAATCGCCAGACATTGCCTAGTCCCACTGCATAGCCGATCATTGAGAGCAAGTACTCCGATTTTGAGGACCAGTTACCTCGTTCTTGGTTCTCGTCATTTTCACCCACATGGGAATGCCTGGCAGCCTTGAGAAAGGAGAGAGAAAAGGAAAAGAAATGTCACGGTGTTTATTTTTTTGTTTGCCAAATACTTGGCCAGACTATGGGACAAAAAAAGTTGTTGCAAAGTTTTTGTTTCTCTCTCTTTCTCCCGCTCTCCTCCTCTGCAAAGCAGCACAGGTGCATGGATTTTGCAGGATTTTGTGTGTGTGTGTGTGTGTGTGTGTGTGATTATGTTTTTCAAAACAAGTGAAGTTTTCAGGTTTTCCACGTATTCTACTTTTAGTGAGAATGCACACTTACCGTTTCATTGATTTGGCCATCAACAGGGGGATCTGAGAGTCCAGCTATGGATACCTTATTTTTCTTCATTTCTGGACAGTTTGGAAAGGCTCTTTCCTCTTGCCACCCGACTTGAACAGGATATTTTGTTTCTGTAAAGCTGTGTTCCTTCTGCTCAAAGAAGCTTCAGGTCTTAAGCTTGGGCATGCCTTCCTCAATCGCAGGATGGCTCTTTATGTTATTCAAAAGGGGTGTAGTTCTCTCTCTCTCTGTACTCCTGCCATGATGTCATCAAAGTTACCAGATTTCTTCTGTTGCTAATAGGTCAATTTTGCAGATTTTGTAAAAAAAATTGGAATGGATTCAGAATATAAATTCAGCCAGCATGAACTTGAACTTCTTTAATATGTTGAATAATGGGTTGCACATCCGTGCCAGGATCCGTTCTGCCTTCCCCCACCTCCCCAATGTTGCCTGCCTCCGCCTATACCTCCCTCCTCAGACTGTCAAGACCCTCGTCCATGATTTAATTACATCCAATGCTGTGCTAATTCCCTGCACAACAGAGGTCTCAACTCTTCCTTGCGCAAGATGGAGATTATTCAGAGCTCTGCAGCTCGTGTCCTCTCTCACACTGAGCTCCATGAGCCGATCACTCCCATCCTCACCCAGGTTCACTGACTCCCTGTCGCCCAGAGGATCTAGTTCAAGTTCTTCACTCTCACATTTAAAGCCTTTCACAGTCTTGCTCCAACCAACTTCTGCAACCCACTAAAACTTTACCAACATGTCCTCTTCCTCCACTCAGCAGGCACCGGCCTCTCTGTGTCCCCACTCCACAATCAACAGCCTTTCTGCCCCTACCCCCTGGAACTCCATCCTGGAGCCCCTCTGCCTTGCGCTCTGCTCTCCCTTACCTCCTTCAAAGCCCATGTCAAGAACTTCCTCTTGACCGTGCCTTCAGTCATCTGACCACCTCCGCGCCCCACCCACCCCCAAATATTGCGTGACAGATCATTTAATGATTAATCAGTGGAGTCCTGTAGCTCAGTGGTTAGAGCACTCGCGTTGCAAGCGAGCGACCTGAGTTCAATTCCAGGCAGAGGGCGAAACCTTGGGCAAGTTTCCTTACTCCACACAGAGCCTAATAATAATCCCTCCAAAACCCAAAACAATAATAAATTGGTCAGTTTCAATCTACAACTGTTTGTGGGACATTGCTATGCGCAATTGGCTGCCGCGTTCACCCACAAATATACAGTCAATTCAGTTTACAGTGTGTTCTGAAAAGCGCTTTGGGACGTCCTCCCGACGTGAAAAGCGCTATATCAAACGCAAGGATTATTATCATTATTAATCAATAAACGGATTATCTTGCCTTCCTTTTTAAGTTAGATCACAGTTATGCAAATATCTTCAACAGTTTTGTTCAGTCAAAAATTGCCAGCTCTTGTAAAGTTGTTTGGAATGTCATCCTGATGTGGAAAGTGCTGTAATAATGTAATATTGTATTTGAATGTAGGCCAATTTCCTTGAATTGGAATGGTAATGCTTATGAACCGTGAATAACTCCCGATTAAGAAATTAAAATTACTTAGAATAATAGAAAACCTAAATATTTTCAAAATGGAAAACAAGTGAGCACTTGATGTATATTTTAGCTTTCCAATTATGGAAATACTCTGAATCCTATAGTATCGTAATAAATGTTTTTTTACTCAAAAGCTTTACTTAACTCACCTGCCTTCCCTCACCTCCGTAACATCACCCGACTCCGCCACTACCTCACCCCTCAGGCCACTGAAACTCGTGTTCATGCCTTCATCACCTCCAGGCTCGACTATGCAAACTCCCTGCTTGTCGGCCTTCCCAACTCCTCCCTCCACAGGCTGCAGATAATCCAGAACTCTGCAGCCCGTGTCCTCTCCCGCACCAAACTCCGTGACCCCATCTCCCCCACTCTCGCCCACTCCACTGGCTCCTTATCCTTCAAAGGATCCAGTTTAAAATCCTGGTCCTCAATAATAATAATAATAATAATCCTTGCATTTGATATAGCGCTTTTCACGTCGAGAGGACGTCCCAAAGCGCTTCACAGAAGCCACTGTAAAGTGAATTGACTGCATATTTGTGGGCGAACGCGGCAGCCAATTGCGCACAGCAATGTCCCACAAACAGTCGTAGATTGAAAATAACCAATTTAGTATTATTTTTGGTTTTGGAGGGATTATTAGTAGGTGTGTGGTGTAAGGAAACGTGTCCAAGGTTTCGCCCTCTGCCTGGAAATGAACTCGGGTCTCCCGCTTGCAAAGCGAGTGCTCTAACCACTGAGCTACAGGACCCCACAACTCAGTTACAAGATGTAATTGTACTTTTGTTTTACAGACCACCCACTCCATTCTTCTCATGGTATTTGAAGATGTTCTTCAAATTTTCCAAGTCTTCAATCTGGGCATCAAATTATTGCAGAAAAGTAGACATGAACATTTCTGAGGTCACACTCTGCAGAGTCTCAACTATAATGCCCTCCATGGCCACGCTCCACCCTACCTCTGCAACCTGCTGACCCCCTACCAAACCACCCGTTTCCTCCGCTCATCCGGCTCTGGCCCACTCCACGTTCCCCGACCCACCCGACATTGGCGGGAGAGCCTTCAGCCACTCTGCCCCCAACCTCTGGAATTCCATCCCCAATCACTCCGCTTCGCCCCCTCCTTAGCCTCCTTCAAGCCCCACCCCAAAACACTCCTCTTCGACCATGCCATCGGCCACCCCCCTTCCCCTCCCTTCTCCCCCCACCCCGACCCCAGCTCGGGTCTGAAATGCTGTACACTGTCCAGTGCCTTGGGACGTCCTCCCAACGTGAAAGGCACTATACAAATGAAATCTTGTTGTTGTTACAAAATACTATTTGTCATAATGTTGGTGCTTATTGTTAGATTATTGAACTGCTAAACACAAATGAAAATTAATAATAGACTTTTTTTTACAGTTACAAATTAATGTACAATTGTTCATATCACTATCATTTTTTAAAATTAATAATAGTTTTGCCCCGCTCTGGCTCACTCACTGTCTTTAATCATCTTAGGATGTAGACACCCTCCAGCACCAAATGCAACCTATTCTTCCTGTGTAACCAGTACGCAAAAAGGAGGCAGATCACAGTCCAAGCTTATTTGAATATCCACAAACGTAAATTTTCACCAAATCACCAAGAGCAATAAGAAACTGGAACCCTCAATGCTCTCTCTACTTTGTACACAGGCACATTGTTTTGCTTGAACTGTTGTCAAGTGAGATTGATTAAAACCACAGCCTGACGACTAAACCTGGATTTTGTGATTCAGTTTCACACATCATGAGGTGTTTTGATACAGTAAATAGGGAGAAACTGTTTCCTCTGGCAGATGGGTCGGTAATCAGAGGACACGGATTTAAGATAATTGGGAAAAGAATCAGAGGGGAGACAAGGAGAATTTTTTTTACCCAGATGACCCGGAATGCACTGCCTGAAACAGTGGTGAAAGCAGATTTGATGGTAGCATTCAAAAGGGAATTGAATAGGTATTTGAAAAGTTTAAAAATTGCAGGACTATGGGGTAAGAGTGGGGCTAGTTAGATAGTCCTTTCAAAGAGCCGGTACAGGCATTATGAGCCGAATAACCTTGTTCTATGCTGTAAAATTCTATTATTCTGTGATTCTATGACTCATTGGAATATTGCTTTGACCTTTGTACCAAATGCAACAATGGCAAACCTACAAATAGCAGCACGATTGCTTGAGCAATCAGAAATGCACCCATTTAAAAAAAAAATGTTTCATTAAGGTATTTGCAGAAACTAACTTCATTAGTGCAATTTTGCAATTGGTGTTTTCAAAATGTATTCAGAATTGGAATACTGAAATAATTTTATCAAGTGAGCTTTTGGGTTCTTACGTTTTGCAGTACATCCAATTGCCTGACTTTCTCTTTGCAGTCTTAATAACATTCACCAGTAAACACACGCTGTACCTCAGCATCGCCAGGTTATCACAGAACCCCCAAGCTGATTATCGTATGCAGAAGTGCAAGTCTTCAAAGATACTTGCATGTCCGTGTGCGATGTTGCCAGGTTTGAGATTTCACCCAACTTAAAGCAGTAGGTATGTGTGTGAGAGAGATACGTGAAGCATAAACATAAAACACAGTGCAGGTGTCTTTCTTGTCTGAGACACTTTAACTGAGGTAGCACTGTATACTCAATCTTGCTATCAAATCCTCGCCCTATCTTCAGGGCAAGCTATTTTAACACAAGTTATGTTTCATTCCTACAGTTGTCTGGTGTTAGCAATCTCCCTCACTCTGCTGAATCAGTAGACAGTTTGCAGTAGCCTTGCTTAAGTGTGTTTTAAAACAGATGATATTTTAATAGTATGTGACTCGTGGTAATTGAGTTGTAAAATATCTGACATGTTAGATATTACGAAAGTATCAGATACTAAATGTCATAGCTGATGGAGCAAGGAAATTTTCATAAAAACTCAAGCGTTGAGACAGTTGCTCTCATAGAATTGGCCAGCAGCAAGTGGAAACTCAATAACAGTATTTCGTCATTACGGAGTTGGGCATTATCAATTGAACACTTGTCATGAGACACAATGTCTCTGCCAAAACAACTAAGGAAGAGTTTAAAGAACACAAACTATTCCTGACTAATCTCTCATATATATGCTAATTCTATTAGACAACAACATTATATTTGTAGCACGCCTTTCACATTGGGAGGATGCCCCAAGGCACTGTATGTTCTTTATTCTTACTGCAATCATCTTTCATACAATAATAATCTCTACATTTGATATAGAACCTTACCATGTCTTCTAGATGTGTCAAAGCACTTCATAGGATATATTGTAAAGTGAATTGACTGTGGGCCAAACGTGGCAGCTAATTGCACACGGCAGTACATACAAAAATAATTGAGAGAGACAAAAGTCTGTGGAACTAGCTTATGGGTGGTGGTGCTGGGTTGTGACTCAACATATAGGTAATGATTTCTTCATTTAAACCTTGAAACTCTGCAGAGCATTGATGTAGTTAAGCACACACACTTCATTGTACAATTACTGATTGCTAAGGTCTGTTCTGCATTTTCTTTGTTTCATAGAAGGTATGCAAAATCTTTGCAGTTTGTTCTCCACTTTAAAATGCTCAGAGACGTTTGTAAAGAATTTTAGATAAATGCAAATTGTTGTTGGAATATTCAGGGTGGTATTACTTTCAGTGTTCTACAGAAGATACTGTAACTTCTAATAACAGAAGCTGGTGAGATGATGTAGCATACTGATAATTAAAGTTACAGGCTTTCTGCAAGCAATGAAACAATATTCAACATTACAAAAACTTGTGGTAACGATATATCAAGTTGTAACAAACTAAATTCTGTATCAACAGATGTTTTCTATTCTTCAGATTTTAGAAGGCATCCGAAGTAGTTGACTAGTGGCATTATCCAATTCATGAAAATAACCTATATTTAGATTCCTCAGGTTTGAACTCTGAAGCCTCCAATCTGAAGTTGACAGCACTCTTTGGTGAAGATCTTACAGGACTTTGAAGTTCAAAGCTTCACGTAAGGCATGTGGAAAGTGGTACGATCTGCCCCAAAAATGCCTAGAGAATGCTGTTCACAACAATATTTTTGAGTATCCTTCCTCCAACATAGAGAGCCCAGACTGGATATCCTAAGTAAAATCTCCATATTATTAACAATATAGAAGAAAAATCATATTAAATCCAGTAAAGTGGTGAGTGGCAACAAAGTTCTACGTTATTTCATTTCAGAAGAACCAATTGATTCAAGAAGGGAAAACTGAAAGGAGTGTTTTCATCATGTTTTCAATGCAGTGAGACAATGAGGAGGAACAGCCTAAAGCTTGGGAGGAGGAACAAGTGATAAACATTTACAATGACCGCAGTGGTATTGATAAAAATAGAGATGCACAGAGGAAAGTCTGTTGTAGAGTAAATTGATTGAGGCCCGAGGTAAGAAGGATCACCTAACCGACAACAAGCTTTTTCTTGTATTCTGTGGACAGTGCACAATTCAGTAACTGATGCATCATTCAGTCCTAATGAGCAACAGTCACTATACCCTCCACTAAATTCTGTGAAGCTCTTTGAGACATCTTGATGACATGGCAATGCGCTAGATCAACTGCAAGGATTATTTCTATTATTGGTCCGCATCGATAGTACTAGTTCCAGAAACAAAACATTGTTTTTGTTCTGCCAGCACAATGCTGAAATATCCACCTGAATATTTACTGAAACATGAGATTTAATTTGCACTTTTGTTTAATATTGATTGTTGTAAACAGGATTTTGCACTATGGTAGAAACAGGGTGGAATCCATATTAACTACTTGGCTTTAAAATCTACTACCAAGAATCAATACCGGTGAAGGGCATATTGATTCACCGAAGAAACCCCAGACAGGAGAGTAAATCAAAATGGGAAAACTAATGATTTAATGAGTGTCCAGGGCCCCGGATCACCACAGATTTATAATAATTAAAAATGTGTGTTAGTAGCATAGAATTACATTTGTGAGAATAGTGTTTGTCCTGCTTCACAATTGTTTGCAATATAACTCGATCCTCAGAAGAGAATGTGAATGAATAGTGTACATCATTAAAATGTCCATCCAAACTGCCAGATTATGCAATGTGTGTGTGGAGCGGTCGAATAGAATATAACAACAACAACTTGAATTTATATAAAGCCCTCCACGCCGGACGGTGTCTCAGAGCGCTTCACAGTAACGGATCCCGGGGCTGAGCCAGGGGGAGGGGGAGGAAGGTGACCAAAGGCCCGGTCAAAAAGAAAGGTCTTCTTTTCTAATCGCAGTGGAGTGTTGTCAAAGATCCTCCATTTATATTTCCCATTTATATTCATGCACTTACAAATGAGGAAATGGATTGTGGTCTGGGTTTAGAATGTCAGATCAAGAAGGGGAAGGAGTAGATGGTAAAATAATGCTTTGTCATAATGCTAAACACCAACCAGTTTTCTTTCAAAATCACACTTGAGCGACAAAACATTTAACAATCTGAAGAAAACATTCCCTAGTCAAGTCGTAGGAGAAAATGTTCGTGATCAAACCAGTCTTGTGCAATCCACGTATTTTTACAAGGTACAAAGGGAGGCGCACTCAGATTAGAAATGCGTCATGAGAATCTTTCGCAATTGTTTTTTTTGAACACTAAATTTCCAGGTGGATTAAGGATCACTTTCCCTGGAGGAGCTATCGTTCTGATCATCAACCCCATTGCCCAGGAGGTCTGCCTTGAGGATGGTCCCACTTGATACAACTTTTGCGAGTTGTACATCATCCCCTGTGTCCTCTACCCCATTTTTCTCTGTGGCCTTCCTTGCCCCCTGCCTTCCCCCCTCCCCTCCCGCCCCCGCCCCCTCGTTAAAAGCCTCTCCGTCCTAACATGCCCCAGTTCTGACAAAGGGCGGCGAACCCGAAACCTTGACTCATTTTCCTTTCTCCGTGGATGCCGCCCGAGCCGCTGAGTTGTTCCCGGCCGCTTCTGTTTACGTTTCCCAACTTTTGTGAGTTTTATTGTAAATTCATATAAACCCACATAAATATTGGAGGGGAGGGTGGGGAGGGAGGGTAGTGTAGATATGAAATCAGTGCGTGCACCAAACCCCCCTGAAAGCGCTATATCAAATGCAAGGATTATTATTATTATTATTATTATTAATTATTATTATTATTCAGGGCTTCAGCCCAGTATTCGTTTTGCAGAAAAATAACGTGGTTGTGGACCGGTTTCATTGAGGTTTTACATGACTCAGAGGGGAAACCAGAGCGTTATCATCCACTGTGCACTTCCTTCAGGCGAAATGACATCAGAGGCAAAGACTCACTTCGCAGTTCAGTTGCAGCTTTTTATTTTGTTTGGCGTTGGCGGTGTCGGTTGGGACTTCACTGCAAAGATATATATATATATATCGAGTCTTTTTTTTTGTTTGTTTCTTCTTGTGGGTCAATCAAAGCAAAGAGGAAAAGAGCCTCACGCGATGCTCAGAGGTTTGCTGAGAGCCGGGAGGCTGCTGGCGGTGGGGGTCGCGGTAGACCGGGGGTTGGTTTGCCGGAGAGGGTGACCGGGGCTCAGAGGCGGTTCTGCAACAAAGCGGCTCAGGACGCGGTGAGAGGGACTGGTGCGCCTTTGCAGTCTGGTGGAGCCGCAGAAGGTGAGTGAGTGAGTGAGTGAGTGAGTAAGTGAAGTGGCTGCTGCTGGGGGTCGGAGTGGTGTGCGTTGCCCCCAAAGTTTTAAGAGGACTAAAGTGTCTGTGTCTGTGGGGGGAGGAGGGGAGGGTTGGGTTGGGTTGGGTTGTAGTTCTCTTTCTCTCCACTCTTGTCGAGGCTTCCGGGGTTCGGGGTGATTTCCCACTCACTGGAAACTCCCTGCAATGTCACCATCACAAACTGTTCCGATCAGATCAGATCAGATCAGATCAACCACCTCCCCCCTGGGCTGCAGGATTGTGTACCACAAGGGGGGATTACCCCCTCCTCTCCCCCCCCCCCACCCCCCCACACACACACACACACACACTTTCAAACGGTGGCTGCTGCTGCTGATCCTGCCTTGATCTTCCAAGAGAGGAAAAGGGGTGGGGTGGGTGGATGGGTGGGGGGTGGGGGGGGGGTGGGTGGAAAAAACACCCAACTTGGTTTTAAAAGAAAAAAAAACCCCACCAAAAGAGTTCTTTCCTTTCGAGATTCTCCCGAGCTGCCGGTGGCCGGCCGGCCGGCCGGTCGGGCGCAAGGTGGCACTTTTCAGCAATGCAATAATTTATGACGTTGAATGAACGTCCTGTTTGTTTGGGCGCGTTGGTACGTTGGTCACGTTGTTCGCCTTAACGCTCTGAAGGGTCAAATTAGGCAGTAAAGTACTGTACTGATTGAATTTGTAATGGCGTTCGAAGAGTTGAGAAGGCCCGCGGACGCTCACTCCTTTGCCCCATTTCCACGACTATTTTGGACTTTGTAAAAAGTGGTCTCTCTTGACCTCCAGAGAACCTGGTAGTTTTGGAGTCCTGTAGCTCGGTGGTTAGAGCCCTCGCTTCACAAGTGACAGACTTCTTTTTTGATTTCCGGCAGGGTGAAACCTTGGGCAAGTTTCCTTATCCCACACGCCTGATGATAATCCCTCAAGAAAAAAATAAATTGGTCACTTCAATCCACGACTGTTTGCGGGACGTTGCTGTGTGCAATTGGCTGCCGCGTTTCGCCCACAAATATACAGTCAATTCACTTTACAGTATATTCTGTGAAGCTCTTTGAGACGTCGAGAAGACGTGAAAAGCGCGATATCAAATGCAAGGATTGTTATTATTGGTTTTGACCACCGCAGCCTGACCTGGTCAATTTGGTTGATTGACAGCTGTGAATCACATTCAGAAGTATGCATTGGTGCAGTGTCTATAAATACTGCAGTACCTCAAAACTCCCATCAAATTTCTGGCAACTACAATTTTATTGAAAGTCCTTTTTTTTTTAACAAGGTCATCTCGAAAGCCGCAAAGGAAGAAACCAATTTATTCTCGTATAGTTACAATTATTTCCAAATATGCAATTTTTATGACAGCGGTTATGCTTATTCCTTAAAGCTTTTCCCATAACCAACCTGCAAAGTCGAATACCTTCAGCATTTGATATGAAGGTACTGTTGTGGTCAGGACGTTTCAAAAAAAAGGAAGATATACCCCAAATGGTTTCGTAAGTAAACTTTCTACTTTCTCATTAATTAATAACTAATATATGCAGGCCTTCTTGGATATTTTCTGCCAAGTTCTTGCTCATTGTTTGTGAACTTATGTGCATGGTCTTGTGCCAAAATATTTGATTTATTGAAGGATAGTTCATTAAAACACAGTGGGTTTGAAATGGGTTCAAATTTTTAAGGGGTGGGGGGGGAGGGATTTGACTTGACCTTTTGTTCTGCAACAAACTTATTTTATTTCATCCTCACGCACTCTTTATTACTGTGGATTCTAATCTACCTGCAGCAAATCACCTAACTGAGCAAACGTATACTGCCAGTGATTTGTCATAAGATTGAAAATGCAAGAGAAATTTATAATGTATTTGAGTCTTGGAACCTCAGTTGAAACTGATGGGTGTCCAGGATTTTCAAACATTTATTCACGTCTGGTGTTAAAGCATCATTATACTGAGTCTATTTAAAACTAATTTTTGTATGAAAAATAAATGAGTGAATTAAGAGGAAAACGATGCGTTTTTTTTCATTTGACCAGGGTCATGTCCATCAAACCTGAACTGCATTGTGTTCAAAGCTTACCTCAAGGTTTTCCTCTGACCTCCCTTTCAGTCATCTTTCTCCTCCCCCACCTTATCAGGTCCCATCTGCCTATTCAGGTGGATGTTAAAAACCCCATGGTGATATTCTGGAAAGGCATTTATCTCGGTGTCCTGGTCAAGTAAAACTGGACATTCAATTCATGGAATTTGTGAGAGGGAATTGCGCAAATATTTGCCTTTAAATGGTCACTTTGCTGAACAGTAATTCCTGTGAAGCACTTCGAGACATCTCTGATGTATGTCAAATGAAAGGATTTATTAATAATAATCCTTGCATTTGATATATCGCTTTTCATGTCTTCTGGACCTCTCAATTATTACTATATCTGCTAATCTTATAATATGGAGAACTGAATCAAGCTTCTGATTAATTTCATTAATGTTTATATCATATAAGATTACCAGCATCAATGATTATTGAAAAATTGAGAATTCTACTTCAATGATATTACATTTTAGATTGTGGCCAGGTCTTGCATTTATTAAAGTGATGTGAGCAATTCACTTTTAGGTTCTTGCAGATTGTGCTGTAAATGTTTTATATGTGCTAATAAATGTATGGTACATACTTTTCAGACTCAAACCTGCATAACTCACTTATTTCTGTTGAAATCAATGGTGCTCAACAAAACAAATGACCGCAGCAAAACTCTAGATTTCAACACCTTTCATTTAAGCTACTGAAATCAGTTTCCTGAGTTTAACTTAAAGTGATTTTTTTTTATTTCTGTGCTATTCAGATTTTAGCTTGGCAATTGTGAGATAATTGCATTGTACTTTGGGTATTATCAAATCCAACAACATCCAGATAAATCATAAAATCATGCAATCTGAATTTTCACTGTGAAGGGAGTTCAGACCAACAAGCCCCTGCAGTGTTAACATTCGAATGAGCCGCTATCCAATGTAAACAACCTTGCTACCCTTTTCTCTATTCTCTATTACCCCTCTGCTCCCTTTCCTCTCAAACAGTAGAGTGGAGCACCAAAAAACCACCACAGAGTCACAAAATCATAAGAGATGTTAAGATGAAAGCCCCATTTGATCTCATCCTACTAGACGTTGTGCACGTTTTACTTCTTTTATTTAAGAATCCAAATTACTTCTCCAAATTCTTTATTTGGGTTCCAAAGGTCTGAGTCTGACCCCATAAAAGTGTGCAGTGTTTCAAGGCATCCGTAATAATAATAATAATCCTTGCATTTGATATAGCGCTTTTCACATCTTCTAGACATCTCAAAGCGCTTCACAGAATATGCTGTAAAGTGAATTGACTGTATATTTGTGGGCGAATCTATTGCATCTGTGGAAGGAATGCTTACCTTTCTTAACTAAAAGCATTCCTCTGAAAGGGGGTGGGGTTGGGAAGAAGAAAATACCAATGGATTTGTAAATGAGTGCCTTGCTTGCCTTATAGAATTTCTGTCAAAGGCAGTATTATAATTCAAAGTCCCTTCTTTGTCTTTCACTCTCATTCATGTCACGACCATCATATTTGTGTTGCATGGTAAAATTATGGGACAACCAACAATTTTCTACTTTCTTGCAATGTCGTACAATTATAAATAATCTGCAGTTCTTTGGAATGTTTCTGTTCATAACTTTTGAGGGTTAAAAAGTGATTTGGTAATTAGCAAATTACAACAGGCTTTAAATTATCATTGCTGCATTGTAAACTGTGGGTGGAATCAAGACTTGTGAACTAAGTTAATTCTGTGTGGAAGAAATGGACCTGGGCAGTTGTTGGTTATCTGTTTAATATGAATTACGCCATGTAATGCAAAGATAAACTTCCTTGTCTGACTTTCATTTGTGGAATTTAAGGAACTTGAGACATTGGATTACTGTAAATACTACTGCATGACCTGCTTGAGCAATTGAGTTCAAATTGTGCAAAACATTCCAGTACATTTTGAATTGTAAATGTTAATGATGTAGGAACCTGCTTTTGTAATGTCATGTTTTACATCATTGATAGTTTCCCATTTTTAAATCAATAATTTTGAAATATTTTACAGAATGGACATGCTCGCTGCAGCTGCTAATAATTTGAGGGTGAAAATTTGCTACTTAATGATTGCTCTTTCAGTTGTTGGATGCTTTGTTATGGTGATTTCTGGAAAGAATGTAAGTATGTTTGTTTATTTATTTAGAGACAACAAATATAGTGTGTGATTGACTAGTTCTCTGCAGGTTAGGGAAGGAATTTAACATTACCATAAACTTTCTTTTAAGATTAGCTCCGCTTCTGTTGTGAACTGAATGCAGCAAAAATTTATTTCAGTCAAAAGTACGCCACTCTAGAGAACTTGTAAAGAAACTCAAAACATCAAATATCTGAAAGTACCTAGGCCAGATGAAATACACTGAGAATCCTAAATGTTGCTTTATCATTACTTTGAGTTACATCAATGCAGTTCTGTGCTATTCTGATAGGAATGAACCAGATTGGCATTCACAGTGGAGAAAATACTGGGTAACTTTTGATTGAAATACTGTCAATATTCATTAAAGAGTATAGAGGTATAAGGTATATTGGCAAGAATTTAGAAGCAACAAGTCATGCATCACAAATCTACTGGAATTTTTTGAGAAGTTAACTGAACTAGTTAAGGACTATCAAGTACATTTGATTTTACTTAGATTTCCAGAAGTAATTTCATAAAGATTCACATGTGAGGAAGCAAGGCTCATTGAATTACTGTACGAGCAAATTCCTAACTGGACTGACAAAAGAAAACTGAAGGTAACGATTAATAAAAAAAGCTTGATCTAGAGTTATGACCTGAAGACATCTGCTATGATCCCTCTATTATGCTGCTCAGAAGCAATGTAGAATAAGGTACTTTTCATGTGTTTGCAAATGACACTAAACTCTGACTAGGTGATGAAAGATCTACAGCAAAAGCTTATGGTGTCTGGGCTGGAGGGTTTGAGTACAATATTATTTTTAAAAAAGCAAAACATGTAGAGTTATTCACTAATTGTAAGAAGTTTGCTGATGTGCAATTTATCATTGAGTAAGTTTGCAATATTTTCCACTGCATCCCGCTTACCTACATCAAAGGACATCTTACCGAACAGAAGGAGTTCAGCTCCAAAACGCATCTAAAACTGAGAGTTGCAAAATATTTTGTGAGATGGATCTAAAAATAATTATCATGTGATACTGATAATTTACAACTGAGATCTTTAAATCCTAATGAGCAGGGTAATTGCTTTAATCCGGTATTTTAAAAAGAGGGATCCAAGAATACATTTTGCCATTAAAATGAATGATGATGGGGATGCCTTCATATTTCACGTAGTGAAAATGCTGAACACTTGATAGTTACGACATTGTTAGAGGAAACTGGAGGATTTTTGTTCACTTAATTTGTATGTTGCTACTTAATATAAAAAGGTAGAAACTTTGGCCGAATGACAGATTTAGTATACAAAGGTTAGTTTACTATTTAAATGTGTACAATACACTAAGATCTCATGTTGATACAATATTTCTGAATTATAGGCTGTAAAAAGAGATGAATCCCTTACCAAGTCAAACTTGGATAAGAAAGCAAAACTGAAGGAAGAATATCAGAAAGAACAAGAGCTGATTGCAAGAAAGGCAGAATAACCGATTGCACCAAACACTTACTTTGTTGGATTTACAACGTCCAAGTAACAAACATGAAAATTGATTGACAGAACCAGCAACAGCCGATCAATTCATCATGTCTGCCCTTATGTCATGAATACATAACTTAAATTCAAACAATTAAAATAAAGTATTTTGCTGGAATAATTTGGCGTTCTACAACAAGTGTGTCCTTGTCTCGTGTATTTACCATATCTCTACCTTGCCAGGTGTCTTAATCAATGTTTAAAAATATTCCTAGTCACAATTATAGTAGAACTGAAGACATCAGAAGAGTCCAGCTATCTGGTGAAAGTCAGATTTGGTTTGCTGGTTGTCTTACCTAGGTTAGTGTTAAGTATTCAGAAAAATCAGTTGGGAGATACTTGCCTGGAGGAGTGAGAGTGGTAACAAAATAGGGACAAGACAGGAGTGAGGTCAGTTGACATTGTGCAAGAAGAAGACAGAACAAATGAAACATACTAGAAGAGAACAGTGAAAGTAAAATGTATAGGCTCGAAGGAGAGCAACAATATGAGAAACAGGTTGGACGATCGGGTGTTAATGACAGCCTGGAGGAAGATTGATGACAAGAGTCGGAACTAGGCCAAGTTGAGAATGGTGATCAGAGGCAAAGGCTGGGAGAGACTAAGTGATAAGCTGCCTGGTAATAATACTTTGGTTTCGAATGATCCAAGTAATCACTATATTGCATAGCAAATACATATTACAAAATAATAAACCTTTCTTGAATATTAATCATTACAACAGTGGAACTATGCTTTTTGAAGCTTAAAACAAATTGCCATAAATTATGAGACTAATATGCAGGTAAATATTGAAAAGTAGCAACTCTGGTAATGTAGAAATTGTCATAACAGACAATCACTAGACTATTAATCATATTCTGGTATTTTTTCCAAAATATAGCAACTGCAATTTCAGTTCCTAATGTTTCCAGATGTGTTTGTTATTCCCCAAAACTTACAGCAAACAAGCAGGCTCAGCGACCCATAGGGAATTGCTTTGATAATAGAATCACCATTAAAGACTCAATCCACATTGTGCTGTGAACATGGCAAAAATATTATAATTCAATGAATTTAATATTTAAATTAGTTTTCTGGGTTCAACACTTCTCTTGAAGTGTGTCTGAATAAAACAAGTACATCTCAATCACTTGCTGGCCTGTGAATTTATCCTTTATTTAAAACCAAACCTTTCATGCAGGTAAATGCTATGTTGAATGTGGTTGAGATTCCTCTGTGGAATTGGTTTGATTTTATGGAGCAGCAGCCGCTGTAGAATACTAATGTCTTGCTTGTGTGTATGCTTCTTTAATGCAATTTTTCATTGGATTGAAATACTGGATCAGTACCAAAGGAATTTTTAGCCTACCAGTGAGGAAAACTGTTTAATTCATGAGTGATTAAAGTGCGCTGGATGCTTCTGATAGTCCCCATTCATCCCACCCATACTCCACCAGTCAATACCAGGTTTTATTATCACTTAAGTTAATACATTTACTGTTTAGTGAATAGAATGAAAATGTTACATAACAATTAAAAAACATACAATTTAGAGCAGTAGTCCTGGCTCGTGTAGTGTCTCCAATAAAACTATTTTTTGTTGCTTTTCTGCATACTTTCGCAGTTCGCATTTAATTTTTGAAATAAAAAATCCAAGTCACCTTCTGTCTGAATGGAAGTTGAATCTAGACGGCACAAACAATAAAAGGGCGGAAGAATTGAGGTGAGATCTACACCTTGCAGAAAGACAAAGTAACCCTTTTCAGGTATGTGGAATGAGTTTTAAAAATTAAGTGAACAGGATACTGGCATGGCATGGGGGGCGAGAGGAGGAATTATACACTAGTTACTAAAATAGAGCAATTTATTCAATTCTTATTCATTTTGTCAATTTCGTGAAAATACGTCCACAAATCAAAGACAGAACAAGAATGACATTTTACTTTTACCTTTGCCCATTTACTGAAGGAATAACTGTCGGATTTGAGAGGAGCCTTGTTAATGTACATTTTTGCAAGATTGCACTGAGCAGCATGAGGAATTTATTGGCCACTCTCTAAAATCTCTAAAGTGCAGCAGCTTATCAGTAACAGTCTGTGCTCACCACTTCTACAGAGTGGATACACTAAATCTCAATTCCTCAAGAGGGTGCTGTGATATTAAGGAAACATAACAAACATATTTGTACATGTAAATCTCTTGTAAATTTCTGTGTTGTGTGTGTGTATATAATATATATATATATATGGAAATAGATCATTATTTGGGAAATCAATTATAGTAAATCTAGAAAACACCATTTTCTCAAAAATTGTCCAGCTGTCCCAACAAAATAAATGGTAAAAAGTGCACTTAGATGAAGTATATCAATGTCAACATCTCACTGAATAAATCAACCTTCATGTAAATAGTCAGTATCACTGTGTCAAAGGTGGCCACTCAGAGGCTTCTTTCCCGCTCTACCCATTCAGTAAAGAGAGAGGAAACGGTAAACAAGATGTGTTTTAAAAAGAAATTGTTTAAAGTGGGTAGAACAATCCTCTTTCTTGTGCATTTCTAATGCCCACTTGCAGAAAGCCAATGGTTCCTACACATCATCTAACAACCTGGGATTTGTACACAATCTATAACCAATAGGCCCTGTAAGTAGGTTGTTACAAATCCCAAGTTGAGAGATAATGTGTAACACCAAAGCATTCATAATGGGAGAAAATGACTAAAAGATGGCAATATGAAACAAGAAACACCCTCATCACCTGTGCCCAAGGTGATTGCTCAGAGACAGAGGCTTATTTGTGGCCGAAGCTGACAAATGGAGTTGGAGTGGACTGAAGTAAAATCAATGGTAAGGATTCTGAAGGGATTGAATGTCATCAGTAGTTTGACTGGAAAGATACTGAAATTCAGAAGTTTTCAAGAAGAAAGAGAGAAAAAATTGATAAGTAAATGCTGGAAACAAATAAAAGGTTAACATTTATTCTTCCTTCCGCTCTGTTACTTCTACCCCCATTGCCATGCATAAGTGAGCAGCTAAGGTGATCTGCTTTAGTTGATTTGTACAAAGTGTTAGTTGGAGCCCTGTGATAACTCATTTCTGTGATTTCCCCCATTCTTTGGATTATTGCCTGGCCTCCTTTTGGCCTCTTCTCATAGGATAAACTTGAATCCCACCTCTCCACAACACCATTCATTGCACTCCTTTAAATTAATATAGTCTGAGGTATTGCACCAAGACAAGTTTTAAATCAACCCAATTCTTGACAACCAAACTGTTCCATTTAAATATATTGTTATATATATAATATATATGTGTGTGTATCAGGTATGAGAGAGGATTTAGCTACAACAGACTGGGGAATTAGATTAAAGGATATGACAGTAGACCAGCAATGGCAAACCTTTAAAGATATAGTACATAATTCCCAGCGATCACATATTCCCTTGAGGAACAAAAATACCACATGAAAAGTGGTTCAACCATGGCTAACTAGAGCAGCTAGGAAAAGTATAAAATTAAAAGAAGAGACCTATAATACTGCCAAAAAGAGCAATAAACCCAAGGATTGGGAGGGCTTCAGAGACCAACAAAGAAAGGATATAGCAGAGTCATTAAACAAATACTTTGCTTCTGTTTTCATGTTAAAAGACACTGAAAACTTACCAAAAAAGCGGGGATCCAAGAAGCTAATGTTAGTGAGCAACTTAGGGAAATTAACATCAGTAAAGAATTAGTACTAGGGAAACTGTTGAGATTGAAAAATGACAAATCCCCTGGACCTGATGGCCTGCATCCTAGCGTTTTAAAAGATGTGGCTGCTGAGATGGTGGATGCCTTGTTTTTGATCTTCCCAAATTTTCTGGATTCTGGAATGGTTCCCATTGATTGGAAGGTCGCAAACATAACACCACTTTTTAAGAAAGATGCGAGAGAGCAGATGGGGAATTATAGACCAGTCAGTCTGACATCGGTGGTAGGAAAATTCTAGAATCCTAAATTAGGGACGTCATAGTGGGGTACTTAGAAGACCATAACATGATTAGGCAGAGTCAACATGGCTTTACAAAAGGGAAGTCATTAGAGTTTTTTGAGGATGTAACCAGCAGGTTAGATGGGGGGAACCAGTAAATGTAAAATATTTAGATTTTCAGAAGGCATTCGACAAGGTGCCACATAAAAAGTTGCTACACAAGATTAGGGCCCATGGAATTAAAGGCAATATATTAACATGGATCAAAGAATGACTAACGGGAAGAAAACAGAGAGTAGGGATAAACGGGTCCTTCTCAGATTGGCAGGATGTGAGTGGTGGAGTGCCACAAGGATCAGTGCTTGGGCTTCAACTATTTACAATCTATATCAATGATCTAGATGAGGACATAGAACTTAAAATATCTAAATTCACGGATGATACTAAGCTAGGTGGGAGAGTAAGCTCTGAGGATAACACAAAAAGATTGCAAAGGGATATAGATAGGCTAGGTGAGTGGGCAAGAAGGTGACAGGTGGAATATAATGTGGGGAAGTGTGAAGTTATTGACCTAGGTAGTAAAAACAGAAAAGCAGATTATTTTCTAGAGGGGGAGAGACTAGATAGTGTTAGTGTTCAGAGGGATTTGGGTGTCCTTGTACACCAGTCACAAAGAGTTAGTATGCAGGTACAGCAAGCAACCAGGAAGGCTAATGGCAAGTTGGCGATTATTGCAAAAGGGTTAGAATACAAAAGTAGGGAAGTCTTGCTGCAATTGTATAAGGCCTTGATGAGACCTCATCTAGAATACTGTGTGCAGTTTTGGTCTCCTTATTTAAAAAATGGACATACTCATCTTCGAGGGGGTGCAGCGTAGATTCACTAGATTAGTTCCTGGGATGAGGGGTTGACCTATGAGGATAGGTTGAGTAAACTAGACCTATATTCGCTAGAATGCAGAAGAATTAGGGGTGATCCTACAGAAACATATAAGATTTTTATGGGGCTTAACAGAGTAGACAGTGTGAGACTGTTTCCCCTGGTTGGAGAATCTAAAACTAGGGGTCATAGTCTCAGGATTAAAGGTCAGCCCTTTAGAACTGAGTTGAGAAAACATTTCTTCACTCAGAAGGTAGTGAATTCATGGAATTCTCTACCCCAGAAGGCTGTGGATGCTCAGTCATTG